AAGGAAGAAATCGAAAACCTCTTTCCAGTCTGACATTCTTGGTGTGCTCACTGTTATGGACCGTACTTAGCCAGTTGAGTTCCCAAGTCTGATTTTTCATATTACAAATTTTTTGGTTTTTGATAAAAAAAAAATGATTAAAGGTTAGAATGTTAAAAGTGTCAATGAGAGATATTGAACTTGGAATTTAAGAGTCCAAATCACAAGTGTCTTTTAAAATAGCAAATGACCACATATTACAATTAAACAATCATTAATTATGGATGAATTTTGCTGTTGTTGTCTATAGGATCAACACTTCAATTTATTCAAGTTTGATGGTCAATTTTTTTTATAGCTATCTTGTAGTTACTAGAATTAATTCCTCATAAATGAAATATCAACATATTCAACTAGTTAGCATAACTAAAGGCCAGTATAAAAGTTTCCTCACAGCCTAGGAGTTGAGCAACGACATGAACTATGTACCCCAAAGTACCTTTTCCACTCGATTTATTTCTTGCCTTCAAACAACTGAAAGGATATAATCTAGAACCATAGAACTTATTCCCATAACAACACAATTTATCATCTGCTGATTGGAGAAACAGTATATTTAAAGAGAAAAAAACTAGAGTAATATAAACAAAATTGGGCAATAGATTAGAATGACATTGGCATGCAAGGTTTGATCTCATTAAGAATTGTCACTTGTCAATTTGTCATATCTCATATACATCTGTTAAATTTTATGTCATTAGTGGATTAAAATAGCTGGCGGCATTCATAATGCTTTCAAATTAGCTGATAAACCATAGCAAACGTAAAGTGATAGAAGGTTTCACATTTGGCATTGCTTTTGCACTTCCAAAGTCATTATCACAAAAGGTATATCATATTATCATTAATATATTTTAAAAAAGGGATAACATAAACCAAAAAGAATTAAAATTCTAACTCTAAAAGTTAAGGCAGTGGTTATAGTCATGCGGCCATTTGTTAGGCTATAAATTTTGTTTAATTTTTATTTTAATTTGACTATTGAAAATATTTAATAATTGATAAAATAGTTGGTATTTATTATTTAATAAATTAAAATTAGTATATAGACAAAAATTTTTAATTATCATAACTAATTATTTGATAAAACAAAGTTATAAATTGATAAAAAAAAAAAAATTGGATAACCATAATAATTGACAGTGTGATCACAATCACATTCAAAAATTAGAACTCCACTTTCAAGGTGACACATTAGAATTGTTTGCAAATTTAATGGGTTCAAACCAGCATTGTCACATGATTTGAATGACCCTCAAGTACTTGAGCAAATCCCAATCGGTTCCACTAGTGAAGAAGTAAATCCTTCATCCAATGTACTTCAACTTCATAGACGACTAGACCCTTCAATTTTTAGAGTACAATTTTCAAGGTGTGAAATGCAACAGACTAAGAAATAAATAAAACCACAACTATATAATGTCAAATTCAAAGAGCAAAATGAGCAGTTGAAAACACCATGTGTACTAAATACAAAATCATGCAAAATGATAAATCAAAGAAATTGTCTATTTCTTACAAATTGGAGGATGAAAATCAGACATGAATTAGATATTGCCATAGGCAGTGATTTTAGTATCGACAACATATAACACTTTAATGTTGAAAATTTTGAAATCAGAGGATCCTGATTTATTTTTTCACTTCCTCCATTCTCGAAAAAAAAAGGGTTGCTGGCGATTTTGAAGTTTCATGAGAAAATGGGGTCAGGTTCTAGCAACTAGGGCTGGGTATGGTTTGGTTTGGTCTAACCAAAATCAATATTTGAACTATATATCTTTTATTATTATTATTACTACTACTTAGTAACCAAAACTGAATCAAACTGTTTATGAATTTTTGGTTCGGTGATCGAAATAATTAGTTTTAATATTTTGGTTACCAATTATAACCAAATTAACATTGAATGCTTATTTCAAGTTTAACAATAAATATACTTAAGTAAAATTTGGAATTTTTAAGGATTATAAATATAACAAAATGCAAAAAATATGAATAAATGAGAGTAAAATATGAATTTTGAATTTTATTTTTTTACTTTTAGATATATTTTACATTTAAACACTAAATTATAACAGAATTTATATGGTAAAACTTAAAAATGAAACTGAAAAAGATGGTTTTTATATTTATTTATAATATTCAAATAACTATTATTTATTTATTAATATACAATTTTATTTTTGGGTTATATATTCAGTTTTGGTTTTTAACTCTCTAACCATTAACCAACCAAATTTCTCAGTTATTCAACTCAAATTGAAAAAAAATAATTGATAATCATTTATATCAAACCATTTGATTAATTCTTTATTGATTTTTAGTTATCCATTTAGTTAATCAACCATTTGCCCTACTAGTAATCAGGCAATGGGAGGCAGAATAGAACATCGGAATTTAGGACATTTGAAAGGGAGGTTAATCGCAGATTTTTTTGGGCCTTAGCCTAAAGCCCTAGTTTACCCTTTTCATTTGGACTTTAGCTCCATCAAATATTTTTATTGACAATTTACGATTGACTTAAATAT